TTATAATATTAATATAGTAATTAATATAAAATAATTGCGAAACAACCTAAAATAAAAACCATGTAAAAAATATTTTTTATATACATATATGTCGCAAATGACTAATAAATATGAAATAAATGTAAAATAAGTATAAAATAAACATTTTTTAACCGTTTATTCAACATATGGATTTTAAACATAAAATGAATGTTTTTTAAATGTTTAATAAAAGTTTTTTTAATAAACGTTTTACGTAATAAAAATTTGCAAATGTATTTAAATATGCTAAAATAAATATATCTAAAGATGATAAAACTAAAGCCCAAACGTGGACAAAAATTGGATGTCCATAAGATGTCCCGTAAAGGATATCCGTTCAAGGTACGACAACAGATATCCGTTAAGTGTCCATTTCACGTCCACGGACGTTCGGACGTAAATTGGACTTAAACTGGACGTCCACAGGACATCCTGTGCTATCTGGGAATGCTTGTGTCCGATAATGCGGTGTCCAATAATGCTTGTGTCCAATAATGCGGTGTCCAATGATTTCGGTGTCCAATAATGTGTGTCCAATAGTGCGTGTCCAATCGAGCGGTGTCCAAACGGTATACGCCCAGTAAAAACACTTTTATTATGCAAATCGTACCCAAGCTATCGATTAAGCGCAGTCTCAAGTTCGTCGGATCAGCCGTTGTTGAGATCCGAAAATCTGAGGGCCCGTCAACTCGTGTACTCGCGTAAACTTACAATACATACACGGTCGGTGTCGCGCGCGTGATTAGGTTTGTCGCTTATACTTAGTCGCTTATACTTGGCGCGAGACACTACCGTGTCTCGTGATACATATATAGGATTGCATTTGATTTTGTTATTATTATTATTAACATTATTATTAGTATCATAGCATGTAGGATATAATAAAGTTTTCAAATGTTGGCACGTTTCTTTGTTGATAAATCGTACATGAAATGTACGACCAATGTTATTCATGTAACGTATATTATCAACGTAAGATAAAATCAATTCTAGAGGTAAATGCGCAAAAGAAAACTCACTCTATGGATAATTTTTCGAACCAAATATACAATGTTTATACAATTAGTTTCAAAAGTTCATCACTTTTTAAACTTCATATTGTAGTTTCATACTTTTCATTAGTTTACACGAATTGTAAAAACTATGAGTAAAGTACACATCAATTTATACACGTTTTCAAACTTTAAGCCGCTACTCTAATGTCGCTATAACGCTGAAACTTATCGACACACGCATATGTATACATACATATAGCGAAAAATTTTCTGTAAACATTATTAAATAAAAAGAGACGAGTCTCCTAACAAAGCTAAAAATTGATTATATAGTGTTATTCGTTCCGCTTGTAAAATTTTATATTGTTTTCTTATTTTTCACTGAGATATAATAATTTTTCCCTTATTTTTCATAAGACGCGTTAATTTTATTATTTAATTTTTTAGTAACAAGTTTATTACAATTATATATTTATATAATTTGTATTATGAAAAGTTATTAAAAATATTACGAAATATTATGAGACTTTTTCTCGCCAAGGATATAATATTTAATAATTTTTTGCAACTTAGATATCGAAAGAGACAAAAATCGAACTCCTTCTGTTCAACAAAGTTCAATTATATGTATACATATGTATATATATTAGACCAGCTAAGCATATATTTTCAACAAACGAGGATTTCAAATATTTCGTCCTTAGTCTCATTTGCTTGGTGCAACGTGACTCAAGGGAATTTTTATCGCTCGGAGGAATTTATAAAGATTTCGAAAATATGTTCAATTATAATGTCGCACGATTCTTAGAATATTACGCTACCATAAAGGATTAAAACGAATTTTTTATTCTATCGCTTATTCAGTCGATGGGACTAGCATTGCTATAATAGGCTTAGCGGAGATTGTCCACGTGTATATTATCCAAACGAGGAAAATCCCGAATACGAGTTTCAACGCACAATCAGCGAAGTATAGGTACGCAAAGACTCGTCTTGCCCGTGGCAGCGTCGAAAGGTCGTCCTTTAGGTAATATTGTCTCGTACCTAAGATATACATTAACAGATAATCGTTCCAGCAAATAATCCCCGTGTCCATGAAGAATGTTTCTTTATCGGAGGGACACAGTCGATTTTGTAGCTCGCGTATGTTGTCTTGGCTGCCATGAAATTTAGCAAAACAAATAAGTCATTAATTATTCTATCGAATCGAGTATGTATTATATTTAAAAAGAATTTAACTTCTTACCAAAATTTCCACTGCTTCATGGTATAATATTGTAGCAATTCTAAACCGGAGTTCACTCTATTTTGTACTCGCACTAAGAAAGGTTTATTCCCAGTGATGACAAGTAGAGTATCTAACAGGTAGGCGGGTATAATGTGAAAAAATATGACGGCGAACCAATGTAACATTTTAAAGGAAGTCACTCCTCCACCGGGATACCAGAGCGGCTCTAAAACGAAGCATTTGCATACGTTAGATACATAGCATACATTGCAATCTGTTAGTGTTGTAACATTGTCTTACGCGAGAAAGGGTACGCGTATACGTGCTTCTTCCCGATTTCTATAGCGTCGCCCCAAGAAATTGGATTGTCTACGTTCGTCGTGACGTTTAAAAACATCGGCTTGGTCGACTTCTCCATCCCGACTTGCCAAGCTAGAGCTATTGTCGCGTTCACGGCCATGTCGCAGGGCACTATATCGGCCACGTAATCCGCGTTGCAAAGCATGGACCGTATTACTCCTTTACCCGCTCCGATCATCAATCCGGTTGGGCCGTTCATGTTGTCTATCCAGCCGGGCACAGGCTCTTTATACGACGCTGTCACTAAAATCATCGTCAACATTTTGCTAATGATATAATCGAGACGAAATGGAAAAATATTAAGTGAGTTTCCTTTCTGTCGCCAGTAATAAATAACAAGAGAATATTGTCAACTTCAACTGGCTTTTATTGAGAGAAAGTGCTTTGATTTACCAACGGTAAACCACTCCAGTATCCCCTTAAACTTTTTTATGTTTCAGTCTACATCTAATTTTATAAAGAAAATTATGATTTATTTTGAGATATATTCAGTAATTTTTCAGTAACTTTTATAAATACTTGTTACTAATTTTACAGCATTATCAGCAAAATATTTTCATCGAGGATGTCGAAAGCATAAAATAAATCTTTCTCTACGAAATTCTTCTTTGAAAATGTTTAATATAAAAATTGACGAAATTGATTTTTTAACTTTATACAGTGTGTTACGGATAAGGTGTTCATCTGCTCGTATGCAGGTAGAGGAGGTTAAACTGAAAAGAAAAGTTATGTACCATTTTATAAAATTCCCAATGGTTATCGAGTAATTAATTAAAACGTTTGAGCGAATAAGTGCAAGGAAAACGGTAGGCCGGACTCGGTAGATATGGCTTATTCGTACCTCTGTGAAGCTAGCACCCCCACCACTAAAAAAATAACTTTAGTCTACGGCAAAATTAAGTGCTAATTTTGTGCTAATTTGTTGCTCTAGTTTCGAATTTTGTGCTCCTACCCATCCACAGGAAATTAATAGCAAAAGTGGGGGTGCTGGCTTCACGTTAAGCTAGCACCCCCATACCTGAAAAACACGTATAGAATAGCGTAAACAAAAAAATCGATATACCAGAATTTTGTGCTAATTTTGTGCTTTTAAAATATTCATATCCGGAATTTGGTGCTCCTTGTTTCCCTATCTAAAAAAAGCATTGCGAGTTCATTGTTGTCGCTTTTCCGCGATGCCGATTGGCTCTCTCGAAAATCGATTTCGATCTTGTTGCGAGTCGATTCTCTTCGACTCGCGGTTTTGACAGTTTGCATTTAAGAGGGTTATTTTGACAGTTTATAGGCTTGTTTTCTGTTCCTACACTAGTGAACTAGTGCAATAAATTGGAGTAAGACAAGCATATTTTTTCTCATTCTAGCTTACTGCACTAGTTCACCAGTGCAGGAACAGAAAACAAACCCCGAGTGTCGATCTCGTTGCGAGTCGTTCACTTCGACTTGCGGTTTCGACAGTTTGTATTTAAGAGGGTTATTTTGACAGTTTATGTAATATATATAATGTGGAAGAACAATGGCGCGCGCCAGGCGCGCGCTTGTGTTGTTCTAGTAATATAAAAAAAAACGCATAAAGAGTTTGGCGGTGCTAATATCCGACAAGAGTAAAGTACGTTAAAGAAATTAGTTGCTGGGTCGTTGTGCGTACCAAAATAACGGTAAAATTATTTGCTTTTAAGATATCCATATCCGGAATTAGGTGCTCCTCGTTTAATATAAAAAAACCAT